TCCTTCCTTCTTTCTCTCTTTCTCTAGTTGTCCCTTTCCTCTATTCCTCTCTTTCTGTCTTCCCCTTTTGTCTCCATTTTTCTCTCTATTTCTATATATCAATACTATTCGTCATTGGTATCTACCCGACACCTTCTGTTGTGCTGGCCGTGCGCCATCGAATCGCGATCGACCAGCGGGCGCGCACACGATACCGCGAACCACCCTCGAACATCACTACGGGGGTGCGTTCTGTCTTTACGACGGCGTTACACGCCAGCTTGTATCTGTGAATAGCCATTGCAACGATGGATCACGGAGAGCGGTGAGTTTGTAACTGATGACTGGATAGTGAGGCGGTAAACGATGAGCGTTGCTACTTTGGCATAGAAATATAGAAAGGTTCGTGAAAGATAATTACTTGTGGAAGAGTGAAAGTAATGCTTTCGTGTTTCGTTTCTGTGGTCCGATTTTAGCAAATTTGAAAGGGTGATCGAACGCAACCATGCTATGGGTTGACACTTGGTTAGATTAGACACGTATACAAATTTTTCTGTTGTATATCGTTCATGGAAAATGTTGTCTAGCGTTAACTGATAAGACAAAACCGAAAAAAAGTGTAAAAAATGTGTATATTTGATAAATATCGGTACTTCTTTTATTTCTATATGATACTTTCATTTATTCCTCTTTGTTTTTGCATAAAAAATTTCATGTGATATTAAATATTTCTAAGCAATAACTTATACATAGTTGACTGACATTACGATGCACTAATCTTTGTCTTCGTTCTTCGTTACTTAGCAGCACAACATGATTGATATCAATAGAAGAATACAAAGATAACTCGAAAACACATAAAAAAAATTATCCTTGAATCGATACACAAAGAAACGCTGACGTATTCGTGATTAAACAAAGTTGAAATAAGATTAGTTCTGTATTCTTTTTTGATGTTTCGTTTCAGGGCTACTATCTCCTTTATATAACAACAATATTATATATTGCTTTATTACTTATATTCCGAGTACCTTAGCACCATATTATCCGCAGCCCAAGTACATGCATGTTGTTAAGTATCATTCATTATTATAATTACTATAATTGCAAAATGCTCTTCCATCAAAAATGGATTAATCTCTCTAACGATTATCCAATCCTCCGTGATACTAGTAATCACGATAGCTTGATATACATTCAAACAAGAATCAATACGGTGGCCCGTCCCACCATAATTATTCTCACAAAGTCGTTTAAACGGTGATTCAGCGAATCATTTATATTCCGTAGCCCACGCGTAAAAGTGTATTCGCGTGAAGCCGTGTTCCGGCCGCGGCAACAGAGGCAAGATGGAGAGTAAATCAGGGGTATCGCGACGAAACAAGGTAGACAGTTTAATCGGTCTAAACGCGCGGGGAGGGCACGGAGGAAGGTAGAGGAAAGAGGGAACGAAAATTAATACCTCGGTATTCATTAATTGTGACGCGTCCGCCATGAATACTGAAAACGCGTCGCGTCGCGCCGCGCCGTTGGCTCATTAATGCCTAAAATCCGGTTTATCGAGTTTGCGTGCGCACGGCGAAAGACGTTATCGCGCGTAAACAAAGAGAGCACAGCGCGGAGGGGTAATTATTTCTAATCTGACCGACGCGACTCTTTCTCCATTTATATGCGAAAGCGTGCAGCAATTATTCCGCGTTTCTCACTGTCGCGCCACGCAAAAAGAGCCACAGAAAAAGAAAGAAGCGAGGAAGGAAGCGAGGAGAGAAAAGGAAAGAAGAAATAATAAGCAGCGGTTCGATTCGCAGTAGCACGCGAGAAAGTTGATGAATTCTAATCGGGCTGGCTAATGCATATTCCAGGAAGAATAAATTTCGCTGGTAACAACGTGCAATTAAATCACCGCCTTCCCCATGTTTCGCACTTTTCCGCGACGGCGCGCGAGTTGTTTCGTTCCCCACGTTCGTTGGTAATTAATATTTACGTAAAAGGCTTCCTAAGAAGCGATACTTATCCGCGCGATTTCCTCCGCGATTAATTCGACGCGGATACTTCGATCAAGTGTTGATCGAACGCGTGAAAACGTGTCTCGCATTTATCCGTTACTTTACGAGGAACACGTCCCGTCCACGCAAATGGAGCATCGAGCTTGTTAACCGAACGAGAATACGATGACGTCTTTGCTAATAGTTGATGATGCTGGCTCGGCGACCAGTGTCAAGAGAGTCAAAGTAGCTCATTAGCCGACGCCTTCGCGAGCCCCATCTTCAAACTACTGGGCCAAGAGAAAGACGACATATTAACGCGTCCACTGTCAACTCTGCACATGTAAGACCACTGCAGGGCCGAAAACACGTTTCTAATGGTTACCACCAATTTTCGAGATACTTGTATTCAAAAATCGTTGGATCTCTTCAGGCATACCGAAACTTCTTTTGCTGAATATATCAATGCGAAAACGCATTTTTAGTATGCAGCAAGATAACAATAAATGTTCGACGCTATTGCCAGCATAAATACATTTTTATTATATAACGGTTGTGGCTGTACCTGTTTGCTGGATTTTAATTCTTTCAAATCTTTACGAAACAAGTTATACAACAACCTGAATATCATGTTTCATGCAAGGAAGGAGTACACATGAAGTGAAGTATACAATGTGGACAATGGAATGCTAGCAAAAGTTAAATAAAGTTAATATAATTAATTCGACGAATATTTACAATTTTTAAAGGTCTTCACTTACGTTTTATTATTGACATGATAATTAGTCAATGATTTCCAAACTAATAATACAACTTATCAAAATATCATATATCAGTTTGAATCACTTCGAAACTTGAAAACCCGGTTTCCACCCTTTACAATTTCCCCAAATTGCATCACATTTAAGTAGAATTTGAGTATTCTTCAAATGTTTTTAAATAAATTATAAAAGTAAGCTACGATTAAATTAAGAAACGTCGACGCAAGTTTTGCAGCGAGAAATCCAAATTTAAACGGCTAAAATTACCACTTTAAATGAACAAAATGAACTCAGAAATATCTTTATCCGCAATAATTACATGAAAAGAAACAGGCTATTCGTCACCCGAGGAACGCCGCGTTTCCGTGAACCATACACCCGTATCCCGTTCTCCGCGAGCATTAGAACCCCACACGCCCGGGGCCCTCTAATACAATTATCACGGAAGGATGTTTGACGTGCTCCACCGGCGTAAAAAGAATATTACACCTCGCCAGTGGCAAAGGGTTGGCCATGTAACGGCTCTTGTAGCCGGCAGTGCAACGCATGAATACACGATGCGATGGCAGCGCGTGCGCCAGCTCTCCGCCGTTTCCCTAGCACCCTGTCCCTGTTGGCCCTGTTACTCGTTCGCCGGCACATC